AGTGGCAGGTAGGTGAAGGCAGATTGATCAACTTTGCTGTCACAACGGAACCACTTCTGTACTTCTTTCATTCATTTCTAAAACTATCAATTTTCAAACCTTTTTCTTAAAACATACCTGGGCACTTCGCAGTGGGGAAACAATGTTCATTTTGATAAAGGCCCAAATCTTTGTGTATCAGGATGAATATCCTTCCCCTTAGGAGCCTTCACTGAAAACCTTCTGTTTTACCTAACACAAAGACTGTGAACATAGTATTTTTTTTTCAGACAAGATTTGGAAAGGCAGCTGAATGAAATCTCTTTTCAGTGTGGCCTCTGTCTAGATTTCTAGAAATGACTACATAAGGACCAATACTGCCTGACTCTGCAATGTCCGTGATACCAGAAATTCGGGGTTAGAAGGTGGAGTTCCTGGCCTGGTCAGGCGAGTAGTACGATGTATATCTACGGCAGAGGTATACAAATTAGAAGCAGTGGAAGGAAATTGTTTAAAAATAGCACTGAATTTTATTTTACTATTATTTTTTTTTATTATTTACGCCTACAGCACCTGGTCTTCCTAGGTGGTCTCCCATCCAAGTACTGACCAGGCCTGACCCTGCTTAGCTTCCGAGATCGGACATGGACTTGTTCACTTATTCCGGGTGGCATGGCCGTAGACCATGGACCGTGGCTCCACTGGACGCGAACCCAGGACCTTCTGCGTGTAAAGCAGAGGTGCTCACCGCTACACTATGGAACCATGTCTGATTCTTGGTTTTTGAAAAGTCTTACACATATCTTGTAGACTTTGTTTCTTGGAACTGGCTATGGCTTTTTAAGGTTTTTCTTGTTCCTTTTGAAAACTTACCAAGTAACAGTCAGCTGCCAATTCCCACTTTTGTTGTGTTTTTCCTGCCCTTTTCAATAATAATAATAAAAACGCTGAACTGATTGAGCAATTGAGCAGACCTTTTTTTTTTTTTAAACTTTGACTCCATTTGCAGCTGTGATGTATCTGATTTATACTTACTGGGACTTTCTTTTTATCCTGCAGTATGCAATGTTTCTGACTCTCATTTTTTTGGTTGAACTGGTTGCTGCCATTGTAGGATTTGTTTTCAGACATGAGGTAAGCCTGAATTTGGGAGCTAAAAATGGATTAATTTAAGTTACAGAGTTAAAGACAACTTTTATTAGTTTAAAAATCACTCACAGCTATACTTAAAGCTTTACATTGCAACCCGTAGCTGACAATAATGGCTTTCTTGTAAAAATTCTAGCCCACTTTTAATACAAAAGAACATTTGGAAAATTGTAAAGACTAACAATCACCAGAAGAAAATTAAAGGTACCCATTATTACATTTTTCTGTGTATAAGTACCTATTAAAGTGGAGATGGTACAATTTATAACTTTGATAGGAAACTATTTCAAGCACAAAATTGATCTTTTCCACTGTGACACGCATTTAGAAAATATTGAATATACTTAATTCAAATAATCAAAACCTTAATATTGAATTAGAAATTAGGGTTCCACAGTGAGTAGTGAAGGCTCATCAATGAGAGTGTTCTACAAAGTAGCAGTGCAGTCTCCCAAAGTAAGGTTTTGTAGCTTAAAAATTCCATAGGCATCAAATTTGTACTGTTTAAAGTGGATAAAGATCAGGGTGGTGGGGGATACAGCAGTACAAAGCTGCCTTTTGACGTGTTCTCATAACACTTTGAACTTGTAGTGGTTATCATCTTTTATTGTAATGTTTTGCTCAGTAGTCCCCTCAGCTAAACTATACCCCTTAGGACAGGACTGAACCACAGAAGTTAATTACCATGCATATCGCTGTTGTCAAAGATATGAGCATTGGTCAGATGTAGGAATTTCATATTTGACTTAGAAACCAAAAAAAATATACTCAAAC